ACAGCTCATTTGGATAATTTTTCAGTTCTGCACCAGGCACTGCCTCCATTCCTAATCCTTGCTACATTCCCAGTAGGGGTTGCTTAACCACAATCATTGCTTACCATATGTTGTTAGAGGTATGCACCTGAGCAGCCTATGTATAGCCTCATTGGCATACACTTAACATTAATAAGGAAGACGGGAATCACTTGCAGAGGAAATCACAGAGCACTATGCCTCAATGAGAAACCAAGTCTTAAGTCGTTCTGGAAGAAATAACGGCAACTCAGGGCTCTTTGCTCCCATGTTTTGCCATTCCCTGACTCCTCTCTCTGACTTGTGCCTCCCGTTCCTTCCTGCTTGTGCTCTGTGATCTGGTTAGTACCAATGCCTAGGAACAGAATCTAATCGACATAAATGTTTTACCTCATAAATCTAAAAGACAAGACAGTAAGGCATTTTTATTTCCATTCCTACAATCACATAGAAAACATATTTTACACCGTCAGACCTCTCCTCAGCATCTCTTCACCTTGATCTCTGTTTCCAAAACACTCTTTTTACAGCACCCTTGACCTCAGTGTTCCTCAGGCTGTAGAGCAGGGGGTTCAACATGGGATTAAAAAGGCTGTAAAACAGGGAAAGGATTTTCTGCTGCTCCTCTGGATGGCGGGACTTGGGGGCCATGTACATGACGATGGCACTGCCAAAGAAGAGCCCGACCACACAGAGGTGGGAGGAGCAGGTGGAGAAGGCCTTCCTGCGGCCCTCCCCTGACCGGATCCTCAGGATGGCCACCAGGATGCGGGTGTAGGAGACCAGTACTTAGCAGAGAGGCCCTACCAAGATGAACATAGAAGCTGCAAAAATGACGATTTGATTCAGTGTTGTGTCAGCACAGGCCAGCTTGAGGAGTGACAGGATTTCACAGAAGTGGTTGACTTCATGAGGCCCACAGAGGGGCAGCCTCAGGATGAGACCCACGTGCACCAGGGCTAGAAGGGAGCCACATGCCCAGGAAACAGCAGTCATGATAGTGCACAGTCTCCCGCTCATGATGACCGTATAGTGCAGGGGGTGGCAGATGGCCACGTACCGATCGTAAGACATCACCACCAGAACGAGACACTCTGTGTGAGCAAAGGCCATGTATAAAAACGTCTGCAGTATACATGGGGCAAAAGAGATTGTTTTTTTCTTACTGAGAAGGTTTGCCAACATCTTGGGGACATTGTTGGAAGCATATGAAATATCAATGATGACCAAATGGGAGAGGAAGAAGTACATAGGGGTATGCAGTCTGGAGTCCAGACAGATGAGTGCCAAGATGACCCCATTCCCCAGGAGGGTGAAGGTGTAGAACAAGAAGAGGGGACCAAAGAGGAACATCTGCACCTGTGGGCCGAGTGGAAATCCCAGTAGGATGAACTCTGGGACCCATGTCTGATTCTCCGTCATGCCCTTGCAGCAGTCTCTGTGATAGTCACTGTGGCAGTGAAATGTGTACTGTGGAGCAAAGGTGGATCTGAATTAGGTGTTATATAAACAGATAGTTCGTGATAGACACCGGGTGCCATCTCAGCCAGCATCACCTTCAGAATCACTAGATCAGTTAATGCAGAGCAACCAAGACAGAAAATCCACCTCAGGTAGCCCGTAGAAGTGAGCACAGTCTGCCGTACGCTGTTTCCATTTTTACAGAATTTTATTTATCTCTGATCACACGATCCACATTTTCACTATCATGGTGACAGCCATATATTTTTTAGAATAGCTACTTTATGTTTGAGAGGACACCTTAACTTACGCCATGTGCTTTGCTTTTGAATTTATTTAGCTTTCATATTCTGTTTCTCATCTAATTCCCAACTATTTTCTGACTTACACATTTCCCATGACAGGAACTCAACAAATAACCAAGGACTTATGCATACAAATGAGTAACCTAAGAAATGAGGCTTACAAATGCAATGTCAACGGGGTCTTTTCCCTCTGTGTTTACTAGTCTTAAGGTAAATGAAGTTTGCATTTTTTAACTTCCTGATATCACTCCCATATCTGACTCTATCCTGGAGGCATGGACAAAGAATGGCATCATTAATGTAGCCACAGTCATAAAAGTAATTCTTGATGTGGTGCTACAGTGAGAGGTTATTTATGTAAAGGGCAAACAGTATACTCTTCTCACTCCCATTTCACCCCCTTGCAGGGCTGCTTTTCCAGATGCTGCTCCTGAAACAGTAGCCTACACAAGTTAGTATCCAACACAGTTGTTGCTAGATGACTGGATGGCTGAATGCTGTACGGCATGGGAAAGACTGCATTACATTGTGAAGAGTAGCAAAGACATACCTTGGATACATACGGCCTTTCAACTTGTCCTTACTCTTTCTCTGTCTTCCATTCCACCACCAGTATGGCTATGGGAGATTCAGAAATGGAAAGACCAAATATTCCATGGAAATACCGAGTGATCAATGCCACTGTCAATGGGAACTTTATGACTCCATGTCTACAAATGCCAACCCTATCTTAAGTACAGAACACTCATTGCCCAGAATTCAACCCTGTGCCTTTCATTCAATAATATTGACTTCTGAAATCTTTCCTTCCTTCCTTCAGACCCAGTGGGCATTTTAACACTTTACTCATTGTGGTATCAGAATTGGTCTTGCTTCAGAAATATGACCACATTTAGAGGAAGCTGCACTGCAATCAAGGGAACTACAGAAGGTCAGTCCTGAGGGTCTTACTCTTTCTAGTAGTTTCTAAAGAACTTTTCATGTACAGGAGTTCTCAGTGCTCTCTTGATGCAGGCTGATGCAGGCTGATGCAGGGACTGGGGTCTGCATGGTGGTGGGAACACCAGCAAGGCACGTTTTACGGTGAGTCCATCTTTACTGAACCCTCCTTGATTGTCTTTGAGGGTCTCTGAGGGGATCAAGGATGTGCGGTGTTCATATTTCATACCTACTAGGAGAACAAAATGTTTTGTTTATCATTCTGTCTCCATTTCTCTGACCTTGGGGATGAGTGTTCAGAGGAAAGAGATGTCAGGTGATGAATTAATACCCAGATGAATCCAAACACATTAAACTCTCCTGGTAATAGAAACATGCCTACTCCTGGGACCATACTGCAGAATTAACCCCTAAGAACTTGGATAGTGATGGGTTCGTGCATCCCATTTTTACACTAGATGGTTTAAGCAGGACTTTCATGAGGCAGAGCATGCATCATCATTATGACACTAATTGTTAAAAGCCCCTACCACTGGAGATAATGCTAACTTGGGATTTTGACAGATAAGAAAAAGCACACATTACCGACTTTCTCACAGTGTAGTGAGATACAGTGTAGTGAGGCTGGTCCATCTAGCACTTGAATGAGTTACACGAAGTAGAAAGAAAGGAAAGACAGAAAACAGAAATCAGAATAAAGCTGGTCTTGAGGAGATACCATGGTTGGATCCCTGGCACTGAGAAGGTGGCGTGTGTCTGATTCCCATCTTTCTGATAACACATCCATGATGTTCAGTGAAATTGGTGACCAACAATGCCTCAGACTGTGAGGGGGTTGTTTAGATATTCATCTAATAAATCATAAATAGAGGATTCTTTCATGATTATCTCTCTTATGTACATGTGAAGTATATGTGCACATACACACATGTGCATGTGTGTGTGTGCAGTGTTTGTGCAAAGTTTTGAAGAGAAATAGTTAAAATCCATTTACCAGAATATAATTCATTCTTCAGTAGAGAGTAATTCAGGTTGTTAATATGTGAGTCACATGGTCCACTGATAGCAAGTGAGGGAAGGGATTATATCTGTGATTTTTGGATCTTGAGAACAAAAGAGCATACTTGAAGCCAAGTTAGAGAAAGAGTATAGAGTTGAACATCATGGGCTTGATATGCCTGAGAGATATATACAAGGATTTGTGAAACAAGGAATTAGCTAAATTGTATTGGAATTCATTGAAAATACCTGGATAAAAGATACGGATTTGGGATATATCTGGTTGTTAAAACCTTGGTAACGAGTAATAGAGTGAAAGATATCACATTTAGTGAAAATAAAATAAAAAGAAGACCATATTAGCATAACTAGTATTTAATAAACATAAAATGCTCACTTTAGTAATGGGTAATTTGACTATTTTTATAAGCAAGAATATTTTTCATGTACAAAAATACACTGTAGTTATTTGAGTTGTTTTTCAATTACTTATATTAAGTGTAAAATAAAAGCAAAGTCCCCCAGAAAAAATGCAGCATGTTTTAGCATCATTTCCCATTTTCATTGATGTAAACAAAATGATAATCAAGCAACAAGTCATTTTAATTTCCAAAGAGCCTATCATAGGATGTCAATAAAAAATGCAAGTTTACAAAAACTTCACTATGAAAATTAAAATTAACTGTTAGTCCATAAGTAAAATAGGAACTAAAGAGAGAATTTGGCACCAAAGATGAAAATCAAAGATTTCAGAAGTAAGGCTTAGAAATCTTCTCTTAGCAGAGGTTGATTGTGTTTTCAGAGAGCGCCTAGCTAGCAGTGCCCTGGAAACACACCTTGCACTCTCAAACTCATACACACTCTAAATTCCTCAACACATTCAGAAAGGGCCGATGATCCAGAAAGTCTCGGTATTTTATAGCAAATTTCTTTCCCATTTAGGGGACAAAGTTGCCCTAAACTCTTATCTCTGCCAGGATCACAGTAGACTCAAAGGGAAAAATGGTAACAATATGTTCAAACGGAAAAATCAGTCACATATTCAAGACGTTAATAAATACAGTCCCAAAAGACAAGTTGTAGCTGCTAATTTCTCACTTCTTTGAAAACCACTGAATTCTTCTGTCACCGGTACTCCCATTATCTTTGAGTTGTTAAAGATTGATGGAATTCCAATGCTATAGTGAAGTATGTCTCAAAGCATGATCCAAAGATAGTGCTTTACCCTTAATGATCAAGTCAAAAGTACCTTGCAAACTTTAAGGTTCAATGGAAACACAGTTAAGTTTTTAAAAACTTTATACATTCAAGGAACCATAGAGACCTTTTCATCTGATGGTGTCATATTTTTATATAAATTTTTATTGAATTTTTGCAAGGTTCATACAGGTTCATACAATATATTTTAATCATATCTGCAGAACCTTCTTAAAGACCTTCACCAGCTTTCATGAATTCTGTCATATGGCCCATCTACCAAGTTTGTGTCCCCCAAAATCCTTTGGTGTGGATCCATTCCCACCTAGTGCCGCACACTTACAGTAAACCAACCCTCCCTGTCCCAGTTGTCAATAGTCGGTTGTCAATAGTTCCTCAGCTAAGATCGGGGCTTCCATTTCTATGCTGAGATTTGTTTTAGTTTGTGTGGGTCTTAGTTAATTGAGTATTCCAGAACTAGAGAAGACATGGTAAAAGCTGACAAGATAACCAAGACAGCTCAAGCCTAGACATCTCAAGCCTGTGTTCAACTTAGAATGCTTATTTTTCTTCTCAATTTTCCTGTCATGATGTGATGGCTAATCCCGGGTGTCAACTTGACTGGATCTGGGATTAATTGAAATGAGAGAGATTTTCTTTATTGGATCATCTGAAGCTGGAAGACACACCCTAAATGTGGGCGTTACCTTCTGATGGCAGCCCGTATAAAAGACCAAGGCAGAGGAGAACGCGGGGCTTTTTGCGGCTTGCCTTCTCTCTCGCTGGTGAGTTTGTCTTGCTGCTGTAGACTGAAGACTAACTGATATTTTGGAATTTGTCAGACCTTCAGCACCAGAT